TTGTTTCACTTATAGGGTCAAAATTTGAATGTTGCTAAAACCTACTGGTATTCAAATACCAATGTGCCTAAGCATATAAATTATCAACAATGTTAAATATTTCAATAAAATGAAAATTAGTAAAGGGTACCGCGGAACCCTGTGTCTCGCCTACGACTGCTGCTGTTCGTATAAAAGTGTATTGTTGATTGTAAAGAGTAAGTCCATTAATCAGTAAATACACATTTTTTTTAAAACACACTTTTTTCTTCAGATGCTTTTCTTGATATTGAAGATGACATGCATATTTCACTGAGGGTCTTATAATGGATTCAACTTTTTTCACATGTTTTGTACAGCCTTTTGGCTGTCAGCGGATAAATTCCAATATCTTTTTTTTTATCTTGTTATCAATATGTCTATCCAAGGATGAGTTGTCATAGACAGTTGCTTCTAGGTACTAGTATTTGCTGGCTTCAACAGTGATAGTGGATATTGATTAAGTTTGTTTGTTTTTCTTTTACGGGCGCCATCATGAGTTGATTGACTGTTATGGATTATCTGTGTCACAGCTGACAACGGATAGGTTTCAATTGTCATAGCCATTCTCACGCTCTCATTTTAACGGTTATAACATCACCGAATGGACTTAAGAACAAATGTATACTTACCATGAGCAACACAACATTGCTACACGTGGTACATGGTATCCTTACACTTCCGGAGCATCTGATATCACTTCCGGATTTTGTGGGGTTCGTGTTGCTCAGTTTTTATGCTTTTTTCTGTTGTATTTTGTAAACAGTTGTTTGTCTTTTCGCCGTTTTTGTTTTTTGTCTTGATTTTTTCGGCCTTTCTTAGAATTATGAGTGCTGATTTTCCCTTTTATATTTTCCGCCTCTTTTTTCATGATTCAGTATAACCGTTAGCATCAGATAAAGGGATTATCATATTCTTAAAATATTAGAATATTACAAAGTCTACAACCCTGAAATGACCTCTTCATTGGTTTTGAATAGATGCAGGAGATTCTAAAGGAACAAAAATACAAACATCAGTCTACAAAAAAGGGGGAAGAAAACCAAAGGGACATTCAAAACTCATAAGTTGAACTGAAACTGACAACGGCATAGTAAAACACTAGATACAAAACTAAAGGCTTAGCAACACGAACCCCTTCCAAAACGGTGATCAGCCCCAGAAAATGTCCCTGTTTGCAGTACCTTATTTGGCCTTTTAACGTTTTTCATTCGAGCGTTACTGATGAGTCTATTGCGGACGAAACCACCCCGACAGTATGTATTTTTGAAGCCCTGCTTTTATTACTTAAAATAGAAGTTCCGTGAAGCATTTGGAAATCAAGCAACATAACATTGTTTGATAGGACGCCTATGATATTTTGGTATCCAATACAGTGCAAGAAGATACAGTTATTCGTCTTTAGTTAAAATTCTTAAGGAACATAAAACAGAAGTTATTGTTGGGACTTTGTCTGTGGTGATACCAAGAATAGTATAAAGGAAAGAAAGATCCATAGCAAAATGTCTGTTTTGGAAGATAGATATAGTATGCGTGTTTATAGACCTTAAAAGACTTTTTTTGAATTTTGATTTGTATCAACGACCTCACAGCATTGACCCATTTACAAAGGGTATCTTCGTTTCCTTTTTCACGTTTTGCCCATTGTCCTGCATAATCCTAAAAAAAGGTTTTCATGGTCATTGTAATGTTTATATATAATAAATGCATGATTTTCTTATGCGTTTCAGTTATGTTATAGTCTTAGTGCTATAGGAAATTTCTTATGTATTCGAATATTTTTATTAATTTTGTTTGAGACATTAAATGACATAATTGTGCAATGAAAGGTTAGGAACTGATTTTATGATTCCATAATGAAAGTATGAAAATAAATAATGTTATCTTTGTGTGAGAAATTGGCTCTTTTATTTATCTACAGTTCAAAGTAATAAATGTACAAAATTTAGGTAACAACTATAGTTTATTGCACATCAAAAAATTAAATAATCTGTCATTTATGAAATTCAAAAGTAAATTTTTATTTATGCTTTAGTTGTATTTGAATATTTGAAATGAACATTTTTACCAAACTGCGAATCCAGTTATCCTTGTTAGGGTAAGCGTATCATCTAAATTTAAAGTTCGCATTTGATTAATGAGTATTTATGAGGTTTTTAAATTGATTTTATTGTTTAAATATTGTTGTCACTACCAATATTATGACTTTCATACGTAATGAGATTTTTTGTGATTATGTTAAGTTGTCCATTCTTTATCGTCATTTTGATTCATTAAAAAATAGCGGGAGTTATAGAACTTTGATCGTTTTGGTCAATTTTAGTATAATGACACCAATCTGAAGTCTAAGACCGAATGTCTGAATCATTTTATATTTAATAAAATTGTTTGTCATTATGTGTTATTCATGTGCGTATCTGCCAATTTAATTTAATTTTTCAGGGATTTCTGAGACCTTTGATTTTACTCATACTCAGCCATGAAATTGACTGACAGCATTGTCCTCACAACAGACCAATGGTTTGTTCCTTGAATCCGTTACAGAATGAACTTCACCAATTACCAAATAACTGAGTTTATTCATGATCTAACCGATGTGAATCTGATAATTGATGAAGTTCATCATGTAATGGATTGACATGGTTTGATAAAGGAACAAACCATTTGTCTCAACTGATATAAAATGTCAAATAAGAAAGCGCAATCATGCTTATAAGAGATATAAAACCCGAAAATTAGAACCAGACTTAACAAAATATAGGCAATTGTTAATTGATGTGATGGATTTACTTCGTGAAGCAAAGCTACATTGCCCAATCAAACTACATATCTCTTTATTCGGTGAATCAATCCCGTCCAGAAAGGGTGGTGAATAAATAAACTAGATCTAAAGGAGATAGAAGATAAGGCCAACGCATTGTTTATTTACAATTCAGATCATTGAGCTCCTGGTATAGTAAGTATATCAAATGTCTAATATATTGATCATCTGTTATTAAAATTTTACATGTTTTACAGTTTTTGATATTCTATTTAAAAAAAATGAGAAGAACATTAAATAAATGTCATGCGTCCAAAGCAATTTTCTGGATTTAGCTTCATCATGAACGTTAAAAATTAAACTGTATTGTTTAGAGTTATTGGTGTCTAAAATATTTTATAGTAGAATTGTACACGTTGTCCAGGTGCAAAAATTATTGTTCTTGTTATTAGTATGATGATCTGAATTTGTCGTATTTTAGGTATTTGTCATGTTTTGTATTACCAGGGATACCTGCTATTTCAGTCGACACAGTGTTCTTGATGACATCTGTTTCGAACCTTTTTATACTAGACGACGTCCGATCCAATATTCTATTTAATCTCCGTATTTTAATGCATTGTCTACTTTGCGGATGATAATATATTAAATATTCACCAACAGTGACATCGACCTACTGGATGTAAAAGAGAGGCGTAAGATACCAAAACTCGAAACTAAACTGAAAAAAGTAAAAAAGATAGATTGGTGTTAGACGTCATTATTTTACATTCTCCTCTTTTAATAACAGGTCTGTTAAGAAATTGTTATATATATTTAATCTTTTTAACTATATTCACCTTTATTGGAATATTTCATCACCTGGCCGAAGACAAATTTTACCCATAATTTGTAGAAACTATAACCATAGAGAGAGAGAGAAAGTGGAAATAACAAAAATGTTCAGTAAAATAAGTTCAATGGCAGAAATTGTCAACTGACTCCTTATAAGAGTTATTGCCCCTGAAGAAATATTTTTACACATTTTTGCTGAAACTTTGATAGACAAAGAGAAACCAAAAGGCGCTTAAAAGTTCAGCAAAATAAGATCTACAAATATCTCATAATGGCCAAAATTTTCAATTGACTCCTTATAAGAGTTCTTGCCCTTGCAAGATTATTTTTACCCATTTTTGCATTTTTACAGACAAAAAAAAAATACATAGAAAGAATTTGAAATAGCAAAGATGTTAAGGACAATAACATTTATAAATAAGTTAACATGTCCGGAATTTGACAACTGACTCCCTATGAAGTTATTGCCATTTGAAAGATGTTTTTACCCATTATTGCTTTACAGAAACCATAATAGATATACAGAAGTTGTAAGAGCAACAATGTTAGGCACAATAAAATCTACAAATACGCCAACATGCCAAAAATTGTCAACTGACTTCTGTGCGGAGTCATTGGCCCATTTAAAAAAATGTTTTTTTTTGCAGAAATTGAAAATTGATATATCAGATAATTGCTAAAATGTTCTGCAAATAACATCTACAAATAAATCAACATGGTGGAATTCTTCAATTGACCTGTAAGAAAAGTTATTGTCCTTGAAAGATGATTTTTATCCTTTTAAACTTTTTAGCAGAAAATAGATTAGGAAGAGATGAACAATTTTCAGCACAATAAGATCTACAAATAGGTCAGCATGGCCGTAATTGTCAACCGACTTCTTATAGGAGTTATTTACCCTGAATGATGAATTTTTGCCGATTTAGCTTTTTTTTATCAAAAACTGTAGTAGATAGAAAGAACCTTGAAAGTGCAAAGATGATGAGCAAAATACACAACGTGTGATAAATCATAATTTTGCAGATTATTTCTTAAACTTTAATACATTTGTAGGTAGGTTTATACTGTAAACAGTAGAACTGATTTTCAATACTAGATCTATGAAAATGCTACTAAATAATATTTACAAAATAACAAACATAACTGTTTGCAATTAAAAGTAAAACTAAATAACAAAATGACATATTGTTACCAGGTTTGCGATTCAAGCTCATGAGAGCCTCTTTTTTAAGGTTTATAATCTGAAATAATTATTGAAATTTATTACTTAACACCTGTTTATTTATTCTGTTTTATGTTACATAAAAGGTTAATAACACAAAACTATTTAGTAACATACATGTAGAATAAATAACAAACAAATAACAAACTTTGAAGAAAAAGTATATAATTTCTTTAACCTTTATTCGGATTACAGTCTTTCCATATCCATTCATTTGAATAATCACAGAAAAATTCCATGTAAATATTTGATTCTCTTTCTATTGGTGTGAACTTGCCATAGAACTGCCAGATCGATAAAACGGCATCACCAAAGTCGTTACCATACATAAGTGGACTCTGCGCTGTGACTTTAATTGCTCCAGTACAAGAGACATAGTACAGATTTCCATTCTCCCATTTTCGGCATGTAGGTTTACAGAGTCGCCCACAGGCATCAGAAGCAGTGATCATTACTTCTGTTGGTTTATCTGCCGTAGGTTTTTGAACAGCGATGTACCCGATATGAGAGGATATAGGAAGTCTGTTGTCAACAAACACATAATCTGTGTAAGTACCGAAGTAACTTAATCCAGTAGACTTAAGTCTTACTTTGAATGCACCAGATTCATCTTCTAGACAATCATTATATGTTGCTGGATTACCTGGGCGAACAAGATTTTTCAGATCTTTGTATTTGTGTTCGTCGTACATATCATACCTACTTGGATTTCCGTTAACGTCAGACTGTGATGAAAAGTGAGCCTCTTGAGGTCGAAGATGAACGACTTTAATCGGTATAAAGGCCCATTTTCGTACGTCACATGCGCAACCCGCTATAAAATTATTTTGTATAGGTTTTCCCATGCATGGTTCACGTTCTTGAGGAAGGTATATATTTGTTATTTGTTGAGAGTTAACTGTTATTTTATAACTGTGATGTATAGTTGTGTGGTGTACATGGGTATCTCTTTTTGTCCTTTTGTTTTGCTGGTTACGGAAATTCATCTGGACTCGTCCATTTCTTCTTGCATCAACTAATGGCTGCGTTCTTTTTCTAAAATTTTTATCTACAGCAGCACATTCTGCCCCGTTAGTTCCCATTCTACATTGCAGATCAGGAGACCCACAGTAAGTGTTCTGTCTTGAACAAGTAGGCGATAGTTGATAAAAACTTTTTCGTGCCAGCTGAACACCATAGCCATCACGATTTGTTGGAATACGTCCAAGAAATTGCACAACAGGCATATTTCTCATCACAACATCTGGTAACTGCTGAGGTACTCCTGTTTTATGAGGATACGCAGTATTATATTGATGACCGTATCTCCATACCTCCCACAAATAGTCTACAAAAGTGTGATGTAACCAAAAAATACAATCCCATGGTGCTAATTCGATAGGACCCATTGATCCGCCTACATAATTGTGGACATCGTCGTGATAAGATTCCATGGTGGGATAAGGAGATGGTTCAGTCAGACGGTTAATGTTTGGCATACGCATTACATCCCTAACTTCAGCTGACGTGAACAGAGAACCTGCATTACCAACATTTCTGATTACGGCATTGCCTCTAACGTCCTGAAATCCCCCACAAATACCAGTTCGAACAACTCCACTCATTTCACCAAGATATTCAGGTGTCCAGAGTATAGAATTGGCAGGAGTATCCATATTAGCATCGAGACCAGAGTTCCAATATGGCATGGTGACGGAAGGGTCGTAAGACTGTAAAACCAGTTCTAATCTGAAACCAATTGGTATGAAATATTAAAGTATATATAAAATATGCTATGGTTAAAGTTATACTAAAACACACATAACAAGTAAGTCTTATCTAAAAGATGGAAATAATTGATCAAAAATGCAAAATACCCGATGCAATTTGGTCCACTTATTACAGAGATAATTGCGTGTAAAGTTTAACTACCTTAGGAAAATCCAATCAACGCTAATTCCGGAAACAGCACTAAAAAAATCTACCGGAAGTGACGCACAATGGGTCACTTCTTCGGCTTATCTAAACGTTGATTATAATGAACTTTCTCCTGATCGTTTATTAAAAAACACTGCCAATGAATTTTGCTACCCCTTTAAAGCTCAATCTTTATTATGACCAATTTATCTAAAGGAAAAAAATATGTTTCAGAAGGAAGGGAAGTGTTTTAATAATGTGTTTCAATTGAAAAAGGGGGATGGGGTTGGAGTAATTCAACATTGAGTTTTCAACTAAAAACAATGTTCCTTATCGTAGGAAAGAGAAAAATTAACGGTCAATATATTATTATATTCAAGCTATTAATAATTTTTTTATTGAGTCGAGGATAAATATTGTTTATGTTTACATGTACGTGAAGTTGCATAACATCTGGACAAGATATGACGGTAGGGCTTCTTTTCCATGTAATAAAAATTGCAAGTTAAAAAACGGGTATTCACAATACCTTTTTAATAATGTTAATTATCAAACTATAAAGTTCATCAATTTATAACAACAGGTGGCATTTCTGCATATATATGTCTCTGCCTTGAGTAATGAAGAGTTGTCAAATTTTATGCATGCAAAGGATATATTTATTGGCACCATGAACATAAACAAAAATAATATGTATATATGTATATATGTCTCTGCTCAAGGTTTATGAACAATATCATAAACTGTAAAATGAATGTATGCAAAAAATAAAAATATTTCAAGAAATTTTCTTATGTATTCAAACAATAATAGCATAAACATAAACAAATTGTATGTGTAATTTTTTTGTCCTATCAAATTTGAGACTTTCTGTCCTGTGACTTTCAGTCCGTTTACCATTGAGACATATTATACAATTGTATATATAAAAGTTCTAGAAAAATACAAAAATGTTTTTGAAAAAAATGTTTCCTTATTCAAAAAAAGAATAGACTCAAAACTGAATTGCGAATTTTTATACTGTGACTTTCTGTCCTACATTCGTCCTTATGTAGGATTTTGCTGGGACCTGATGTAACATTAGTATATACCAATATTTTTACATTATGTCCAAGGTCTATGGAAAACCCGATGACAATCATATATACTTATACTGATTTCCATTGTAAAATTTTATTTTATTTTTTAATTTCTGTATAGGTTAATTACAAGTTTATCCAGTATTTCATTTTTAAGGAAATAGCTTGATGAATACATATTCAGGTTTCTAAACCAGTCAAGCAGATTACTGTGACTGACATTACGCAATTCTTCACATTATCTGGAGAATAAACTTATATAATTTTGAAATGCTGCTGTAACTAAAGTCCGTCGGTAAGTAAGTAAGAAAATTTAATGAAAGTAGAAATGTACATTATAGCAGAGAAATATCTACACATGTGTCTCTAATCAGATATATGTCTCTGTTCTAATTATCGCAATCACATGTCACGATATAACATGAGTTAAGCCTCAACCTTTTTAACCGGCTATATAAACTCAGCTTCATATCAGTCTTCTGAAAAGCGAACTTCTCATATAGCAGTTTTTTGTAGCCCAGAAAAACCCACATAGTTTAATTTAACAACAAATCAACAAGTTACGTCCTCCGTCGTCTTTTGGAAGCACGTGTTGGGAGTGTCCTATTTCAAAAGCCGTTTCTCCGCCATGGAATTTCACATGCACGGCTCTACTTCTGCTTCTACCATTACGCGGTCACTATCAATAAACTGATCAATAATTATTTTGCCACTTTTGGATGCACATGTTAATATTTTAAAGAAAAAAAGGTTAATTTGTGCTTTTGGAAGTTTTTCAATATTTTTCTAATTATAAACATTTGATTAAAATATTTGTGCGATTATCAAGCCTCGATAAATATATATCAATATTCTCAATGTAGATTCGGTTATTCGGTAATTGTCACCGATATATATCAAAACTGTTATTTTACTTTGCGAACTAATCTGTTTACATACGATATTAATACACGTATTTGATCAGGCTGACCCACTGTACATCACTTCTGTCAGGTAGAATCAGAGGGTGTTAGTGGCATGTTTTACTAAATCGTTCATGTGTGCAAATGACGAACAGACAGTATTTTGCAAATATTTTGATAATAACAAGATAAAATTTTATCGGATTTTTTGGCGTTTTTCAACGATTATTTCTAACTTTAAAATTATTAAAACATGTTTTTTGCGTTTTAGTACCTCTTTAATGAATGTCATTTTGATAATACGCGTGTAGTAAAGAATCTGGTTAAATTTGTTTTCTATTGATAAACATTTGTTTATGGAGGGCAAAACTTACAGATAACTTGATATATATGTATTGAATAAATGTTTCAATTTTATGATTCCATTTTATTAGGAGCAAATACTGTTTAAAAATTCCAGAGACATATATATGTCTCTGAAAATTCGAAGCAGCAAGTTTTCACTAAATTATTTTGTGATTGAAATAGCACAGTTCAGTTTTTTCGGTTCGGATTTGTAGATTACTATTCTGCAGCTACATATAAATTTTTATTTTTTTGTAACGTGTAGAAAAAACATATACCTCTGATTAAAAAAAAATGTATTTTTTTTCGATGAAATTAATGTTTGCGCTGAATTCAGCTCTTGCCTTAAAATACTACAAACTATATTAATAAAAAAACAAAACTGTATTATTTAAAAAATACCAATATAGCTACCTGTAAAAGAATGTATTGACAATTTGTACTTTTGCTATTTGTGAGAAAACAATGAGATGATCCAAACGGGGTTATAAAAAATTCAAAAGTCTGCCTAATATTTACATTATATAAATGTAAAGAAAACGATCGTTTTGAGTGATCTATTTTTCAAAAGATAAATATGTTTTCTCATAATTTTATGGGTGTGTCTGATAAAGATTAAATCGTGTACACCATTTCATCTTAATTATGTGCCCTGGTAACCCGGAATGTGAAATTAAAGTGATTGATTATGAGAACTGTAAATTGTGATATATAGAGTTTTTATCCATTTTTATGTTAATGTAATATGCACAAGGATACTTAACATTTAATAAATGTTTCTTCTTATCATACAATATTTACATCAAGATCAGAAATCTGTGATAACCAAGAAAGGCAGGTCCACTGTGAGCAGAGGTTCTGACTTGAGAGTTGTGAAATCTGGCAATCCAACCAAAATACTGAAAAGCAGACGAGAATATACAAAGACGTACTGTTATAAGTGTGTGCTATGACATTTCAATATTTGTAAAAGTTTTCAAAACAAATTTCACTACGCTGTTTATTATTTGTAATTCAATTCAGTAGTCCTCAAAATATATTGTAAAATATGTACAGCACATCCTAATTTGTACGATGATGTTGTTTACCGAGTCCCCAAATTAATAGCCAACTAAATATTATTGGTATACACATATGTACATTCACGGTCCTACAATCTGTCGATTCCTATATTTTGATGTTGCACAAGGGCACGTTTTTCTCTGACTGTTAATGACGTCTTTACACTTAATCCATTGGAAGTTGTACTGATATGTATTATAGTCTTATATACATGATTTTCGTATAAGTTTTTATTTGCTTTGGACTAGCTTTCAGTAACTGCGAGTACTATCAGATCTGTACCTTGTGTCTTTGTGTTTTTGTTAGTTGATTTTGTGCTTTGTATCGATCTGATGAATGAAGCCCTTTTCAAATGATTTTTATAGTCTGTTCTTATTTTGTGCTGTGACAACGTTGTCCCAAATTAGGGGATGGCTGGTACGCCCGCAAAAAAGTTTAACCCGCCCTATTCTGTATGTGCCTGTCTTATGTCTGTAATTCAGTAGTTGACGTTTGTCGCTGTATATCATATTTGTTTCTCGTTTATTGTAATGTTCGTAAATCAGGCCGTTAGTTTTCTCGTTTGAATTGTTTTACATTTGTCATTTCGGGGTCTTTTATAGCTTGCTATTTGGTATAGGATTTGCACATTGTTGAAAGCCGTACGGTGATCTATAGTTGTCTCATTGGCAATCATACCACATCTTCTTGCTTTTCTATAACACTTTATAAATTTGGTGCGTTCGCAGAACATTTCTTAATTTTCCCTCATTAGGAATAGAAAAAGCAGGAATGTGAAATTCAAGGATGTATGCATGCCCAAAAGTGATATAAAAATCATAGCCAAACTATCTGAGTGCAGCTTTGCCTGAGAGAGTAGTAGTTTTGTATGTTTTTAAACCGGTTTTGATCAGTTTGAAAATTCTTGAAAACCACAGGGTGATTAATGTTGTTTTGTGCATTTTTCTGCCATATTAATTCGGAAACAATGAACCCGAAATCTTCAATTAAATCATTTGAGAATGTATTATTCACTTTACCGCGTTGATTACAATATGCAACCACTTTCTGTAGTTCATTTTGAATTCGAATGGATGAATATCCCAATCAACGGGTTGGCGTGGTAAAATCTATATGTCTAATTCATTTCTAACTAAATCAACAATTGTACATGTATGTTATAAATCACTAACTACTGGGCTATTATACCCTTGGGGACTAACAGTTTACCAAGTGCATGATACTTGGTATACAGACGTATTTGCATGGGAATGTCTCATTACAACGGAGATTATTTCGCCTTGCGTCATCAGTCATGATATATTGTTGAAAATTTTGACTAGTTTACATGTTAAAGTTTGTGATTTGGTCGGTTTAAGGGGAACTACCAATGGTAAGTCAATGCTATTTGGCATGCAGTTGTATTCGGTCCAGCCAGCTCTGTCATAGATATTGACTCTCAAACTTTTGCAAAGTTTGGGTGTTAAAGGTTGTGATTAGTTCAATTTAAGATGAACCACTACTGGGAATAATGGTATGTCAAAAATATTTGTTATGCAGTTGCATTAACATTTGCACGTTTCATTTTCATAGAGATAAATTGGCCACGCTCCCTCAGTTATGATTCTTTGAAGGAGAAACGAATGCATAGCTTATATGTTAAAGTTTGTACTTATGTCAGTTTAAAGGAAACCACTTATGATAACTCAATGATATTTGGTATGCAGTTGTGTTAGCATTGGTATTTTCGTATTTGAACGGAGATTATTTGGTTCTGCATTTTCATTCATGGTTCATTAAGTTTTTGATTTGCATAGTTTACATGTCAAAGTACTTCCATTTCGATTTTTTTCATTCTACTATCAAAATTTAATACAGGTGAGACATTTATCTGTGTGAACAGTTTATGTTTAGTATTCTATGTCAGAGACGTCCAAAACCAAACATTTGAAAACCAAGGGTGTTAAAATTATACTTGATGACCAAAAGAGACATTAAAGCATTAAGTTCAACATTGTGTAAGAGAGTTGAAATCCATCTTCTTAGTAATTTCTAAATTTAAGATAATGCATGCAAGTGGTTTAAATACATGAGGTAAAAAGGGGTCCATTGCATGGCGACATGCGTGTCCCTATCCAATATGCCCTCGTTTTTACGACAAAATAGTGTTTGTCATTGTTAGATTTTTTTAAGAAATGAGGAAGCAACAATCGTTGATCCATAATCTCTTAAAGTTTAGATGAAGAAATAAGCTTTCTCATAAAATTTAGAACGGAAACAGGGAATATGTCAAAGAGACAACAACGACCAAAGAGCAGAAAACAGCCCAAGGCCACCAATGGGTCTTCAACACAGCGAGAAAATCCCGCACCCAGAGGCAGGCTTCAGCTGGCCCCTAAATAGAAATGTGTACTAGTTCAGTAAAAATGGACGTCACACTAAACTCCAATACATATAGATGAACCAACATTAAAAAAAACACACAAGACTAACAAAGGCCAGTATTGTTCTGTTACTCTTTTTTCATTTCTAGTAGTAAAAGCATAATAAATTCCGTCTTATCTCGTAAAAAAATTATCCATTGAAATGTTGTTTGTACGCAGAATATAGGTTTGACATTTATGATATCTAAGGTCCATTTTCGCCAATAAATATCAAGTAGTAGCGTTTGTTGCCACCCAAATCGAATAGGAGTGTTTTAACAATGATTAATTAAAAAAAAGCCGCTAAAATGATTTTGAATTTGATTCTTTTTAAACGATTCTATTCCAAAAGTCAGTCATAATAGAAACATAGAAACGTAGAATAGTTAATACACTATCACTTTTTTGAATACTGCCAAATAATCAAAAAATAATGTTGAGGCATTTACTTTCTACTTATGAACATATTACTAATGACCGACTCAAATTTAGATAAAAGAACTCTGAGGGACTAGAGTCGTCAATTATTATCAGATACAAAATAGCTTAGACAGCGTGATTCGTTGAGTCATTAAAATATTTAAGGTTCGTATTCTGTTTTACGTTCATCGATTGGGTAATATTTACAACTGGCACGTGACTTCTGTGGTATAAAAATTGTGTATTACAGGTTAATATTTTTACGCTAATTGAAGTAGCTATTTAAACATACAAACATTTATGTGTATACTAATTTAATTTTTAAATAAACAAAAACACAGAAAAGAAAAGTAAATACAGATTTTTGAATTTTTGAAAATGATTACTTGTGTTAAAAGCTAAAACAAAATACTATTTAAGTGTGTTATTTAAGCATGAAATAGACCCCATGAATTTTTTGAATGAATCACTCTCCCTATTTTGAAAAAAGCATTATTTTTTCGTTGCTTTTATTTAAAAGTTTCAACTTTTATAATCCTTAATTAGCATGTTTACTGTTTCCAAACGCAATTCACCGAATTGTTTTTTTTAATCATTTTAGTTTTCGCTGCCCTTTTAAATTCATTTGCATATGATTATTTTTATGGATAGTAATAAAGGTCAAAATTTAAAATTTTGAAATTATAAATTGTCCTCACCTTAGCAGCAATATACCAACTTCACCTGCGTAGGGAGAATACATTTCTCAACTAATACGATATTCAAAAACTTGCCACTGCTACTCAGACTTGGATGGAGAGTTGTCTCATTGGCACTCATACTACATCTTCTTATTTCTATTTGTAAAACATCATCAGTGTTTGAACAAAAAATAATGTGCCAGGGTTTTGTCAAAGAAATTCTCTTTCTTTTTCTCAAAAAGTAAATCAGAAAGTACCAAGACCTTATAGATAAATATTCAGTGTATCTTCACAAATAATACAAAATGGTCAGGTGTGTTCTGAGGTGCGATTCGGACGCAATTAGTTTTTACAGCGTTGTTTCCATTTTGTTTACCCTTGAATTTATATTTTACTTAACTTGTACTTTATCGAGAAAGTGTATACTATATACGGTAAGTACTATGAACTACAAAAACGTTTTTTTTTTCATCGGCGTCTTTGTCAACTTACTTTATTATACTTCATGTCAAAATGCCAGATTTTGATTGGTTAATACGAGGGAGATAATTTACTCTATCCCATGGCAAATACTCTATTACCCTTCACGAAGACGCTTGATCAAATGTGCGCTTTATTATATACGGATGGTTATTATGCACAAGACGTCATAGTTTATTTCTTTGAATTTGAAATTTAATAGACAGTAATAACAGAACATGAAGTATAATAAATTAAATAACACATATCTGCGTGGGTGATAGAGCAGATTGTTACCCCTCGAAAAGCCAATGTCAACCTTGGCTTCGCCTCAGTTGATAAAATTTTCTCGGGGTAACAATCTGCACTATCACCCTCTCAGCTATGTATTATTTATATAATCAGCTACAAACACATTTTTGTTGGCGTGAAATTTATTTGTATGTTTGTTTGAATTTTTAAGTCAGTTGTGTTGTATGTCTGAGATGTATGTATACACAGTTTTGGCTGCTTATCCCAATTATTGTCACATTAACCTATTATGTCTGTTTGGGTTGTTAACCAAATTTTGTCAATATAAGGGAATTATAAACAACAATCATACCATTGGGAGATTTAGCTAGCTATCAAACCAGGTTAAATCCACCATTTTCTGCCTGTACCAAGTCAGTAAAATGACGTTCAATTGGTTAATAACGTTTGATTGTCTCAGTTTGTATGGACTTCCCCTTTTTGAATTTACCTTGGAGTTCGGTATTTCAGTTATATTTTGTTGTCTAATTCTTTGGCAATTTAACCCTTTCTGAACCCATTGTATAAAAAAGTAATCAACGTGTGGTTGCCGATGATCTTAGAAGATGATTGGCTGAGTTTAAG